TGATGATGATGATGATGATGATGATGATGATGATGATGATGATGATGATGGTGGTGGGGCGCTCCAAGCAGATGAAGACTCAGTGGCGCCCTCTGCTGGCAGTGAAAGTGACTCTGTTGTCAGCGGAGGTGAAGCAGCAGCTGATGACAGCGACGGCAGCTGGGAACCAGAGGAGAACCGGAGGAGGAGAGACTCCCAACTGAAGACCAGTGAGAAACCAGTGTTTCCCTGTCAGGTCTGCAGAGCTGCGCTGGGTTCTGAGCTCCTGCTGCTCAAACACGCCCGGACCCACCAGCAGGAGGCAGGAGGCGTCTGTGGGGCCTGTGGAGAGTCCGTGGAGGCGCTGCAGGATCATTTTCAGAAGCGGCACAGAACCGACGAGTGTCAGGTCTGTGGAGAGGCCTTCCTCTGCCCCCTCAGCCTGAATCAGCAGGAAGGGGAGAAACCGTACCTATGTGAAGTTTGCGGCAGCTCGTTCGCTCTGAAGGCGACCTTAGAGGACCACAGGAAGGTGCACGAGGGGGGTCCGCCGTGTCCCACGTGTCCCCGCTGCCAGCAGGGGCTCAGGCAGGAGCTGCAGCTCAAAGCTCAGCGCAGGACTCGCAGCAAACGCAAACCCTTCCTCTGCGGCGTCTGCGGGAAGCTCCTCTGCGACAAGAGGTCCTTGTCCCGCCACAAGATGACGCATTCCGGGGAGAGACCACACAGCTGTCAGGTCTGTGGGCGGGGCTTCAAGCTCCCCTCCACCCTGAAGCAGCACGAGAAGATCCACACCGCGCGGGAGCGCTCCTACCTCTGCGACGTCTGCTGCAAGATGTTCCTGAGCGACAAAGAGCTCGCCGTCCACATGCGGTCGCACACGGACGACAGGCCGTTCCGCTGCGACGAGTGTGGGCGGGGCTTCACCACCAAGGGCCGGCTGTCCATACACCTGCGCGTCCACACGGGGGAGAGCCCGTACCCCTGCCCCTACTGCGGCCGCTCCTTCAAGCGCAAGAGCAACCTGAGCGACCACGTGGCCACGCACACGGGCGCCAAGCCGCACGTCTGCGGGATCTGCGGGAAGCGCTGCGCCCGGAAGACCTACCTGACCGTCCACATGAGGACGCACAACGGGGAGAGACCGTACCGCTGCGCCCTCTGCGACCGGACCTTCACCCAGAGCCACTGTCTGAAAACACACCGGAGGAGCCACCACGCTGAGCACGCCAGCTGAAGCTTACTCTGTTAGCAAAATATCTCAGCTGTATCAAGATGGCTGCCACCTCCGTGGAGGACAAAAACTGGCGTCATTAAAAATAAAAGAAATACATAAAAGGAACAATAAATAATTAAATACGCTTAAAATGCACCAAATAAATTAAAAAAGGACTTTACCTCA